ATGAATTTTAGGTTAAATCTGTGTAATGCTTAATTTTCACTTCCAATTTGACTGGATTAAGAAACACCTACAGCATTAGTGGGGAGCACCTTTGGATGTGTGTGAGGCCGTTTCCAGAGAGGATTAGGAGAGGTGCCCTGAATGCCAGTGGCACCATCCCATGCTTTAGGGTGCTGGACTGAACATCAGAAAAGAGGGAGAAAGCCAGAGGAGCCCTCTGAATCTCTGTCTGTGGAGATGTGAAGAGTCGCAGCCACATATTCCCACCGCCATGAGCTCTGTCATACTTTCTAACCATCGTGGCCTGCATTTTCTGGAACCATGAGGTGAATCCTTCTTCCCTTAATTTGCTTCTGTGAGGCTTTTGGTTGCACAATGAGGAAGATAACTGAAACATCTTAACATCTCTTTTCTACTAAATTCTGTTCACTATATTAAATCAAAGTAACATGCTAGCCCACCCAAATCTTTTGTGTTTGCCTTTACATCTTTTGAAGGGTCAATATCTAGAATTTATAAGAAACTGAAAAACTGGATAGCAAAAAATAATGACGGAACAATATGGTTTAAAATGGAGACGCTGTCTCAAGGAAGTCCTATCTCAAGGTGAACAGATGGAGCAGGGCATCCTCTTCTGTCCCCCTTGCCTATGCACGGGCATGTGCACTGCACATACATGCACATGCTTACACTATACACACGTACCCCCAGAGACTTACACAGTGGGAGATAGAGACACTTCTCAAAAGAAGGCATGCAAACACCAATAGATACACAATAAGGTATTCAACATCATCAGTCACTAGGAAAATGTAACTTAGAGCCACAATAAGATACTACCTCATTATATTTAGTGTGGCTATTATAAAAAAACACAGAAGAAAACAAGTGATGATGTGGATACAGAGAAAAAGAACATATTCTCCAGGTGGGAATGTAAATTAGTACAGCTATTATGAAAAATAATGTGGAGTTCCTCAGAAAATTAAAAATAGAACTATTCTATGACCCAGCAATCCCACCAATAAGCACAAAACCAGAGGAAAATCAGTTTGAAGAGACATCTGCATTCCCATGTTCATTGCAACAGTATTCCTAATAACCAAGAAATGGAGTCAAGCAGAGCATCCATCAACTGAAGTAAAGTATGCCACTTACATACATGAACTACGACTCAGTCTTAAAGGGATGGAGTTCTGCCATCACAGCATCATGAACAGAAGCGGAAGTGAGACTAAGCCCTGCACAGAAAGATGAACACCACAGGATTTCACACAAATGTGGAATTCAGACGATTCCCTCAGGGAAGTGGTGAAGAGAGCCCACTAGTGCTTACCAGAGGCAGAGAGAGGACTAGGAAAGCCCAGGAGCGAGGATGAAAAGAGGGAGAAACAAGTTCTATTCCATGGCAGGATGACTGACCATAATGACAGTGCATTGTGTGTTGAGAACTTTAATTATTCCCCACAAAGAAATGGTAATATTTGGAGAGAGACATGCTTATCCTGATTTGAACATTATACAACGTATACATATACTGAAATATCACATGGTATCCCATAGATACACATAATTTGATGTATCAAAAAATCCTTGGGATTTTCTTTTAAAGATGCTTTGGCAGCTTCATGAAAATATAAACTGAAATTATGAACTATAATATTCTTTTAGAACATAATTACATCCATTAGACCCAAGTGTCTATAATTATGAAAGAAAAACATTAGGCAAAATATACTTCTAAATTTCATGATGCAAATGTCATAATGGAAGGAACAGCTTTCTCATTCACTACTCAATGTAACAGTTTAATATTATTACTGTAATAACTAAAAAAAAGAATGTCAGATATCTGTGCCCAAAGAAAACTCTCTCCAAATATGCACTAATCAGGCGTAATTCCTGCAGCTTTTATTTTTATCCCACAGCTAGTTGGGAGAGCAATAAAAATTTAAAGGAATGTGGTATTTACATTTACGTTGTAATTAAAGTTCCCAGTATACACAAAATGTCAATGATGGCGTGGTGCCCCCAAGTGGCAATATGATGAACTGCAGGACTTTGTTGGGAGGGTCAGAAGCTGTGTCCATTTTGTAGAGTTCATTGTATCTAGAAGAGTATATTACATAAACCTGTATTTCACAGGGCCAATAATAAGTGTCTTACATCCCAATTCAGACCAGTGGTCTGTTCAAGTCAATTATTCTAATATTTAATATTAGGGAGATCTGCTTTGATCAGCTAAGGAAATAGTAGTCATAACACTATAGAAATCTTCTTTCTTAGCAAGCATTCACCTTTGCCTAGTTATAACATCACTTCCTTCTGTTTGTGGTCCAGTACAAAAAGCAAGCGTCAAAACCTTACCTAATAATCAAATTTTAGGATAATGAGAGGTACTAATGAGGTAGCCTGCGCATAAACCAAAGTATGGGGGTGAGGGGGTCATTGTGAAAAATAATATAAGCCAAAATTAGGAACTAGGATATTCTCTTTTAGAATATAATCACATATAGCAGTTATCAGAAATTTATCATTCACTCTGGGTGACTAGAAGACCACCCTTAGGACTGAAGGAGAAAGTCCTTTTCAGAAAGAACATACAATGCTTAATCTTTATTGTCAACCTGACAGAATTCAGAATTTACCTAGGAGACATATCTCTGGATGTGTCTGAGAGGGTGTTTCCAGAGGGGTTTAGCTGAGGAGGGCAGACTCGCCCCCAATGTGGGCAGTATCATCTGATGAGCTGGGGTTCTGGCCCCAATAAAGAGATACAGGAGAGAGCTGAGACCCGCACCCATGTTGCTGTTTCCTGACTACGGAGATAACGTGACCAGCTACTCCCACTCCCACTGCCCTGCCTTACCATTATGGGCTGTGTCCCCTCAATCCCGGGTAAAATAAACCTTCCTTTCTCAAGTCGCTTTGTGTGTTGTCACAGCATCGAGAAAACTAGCAAATACATTGTATACCTCATGCTCTAAGAACCCACAAAAACTCCAGCTTTCACCCTTCCTCATGCTGGAACTGACTGAAAACTTGGAATTCTAGATAACTACAACTTGTTCAAATGTTATACACAGAGACCATTTCAAAAGTTGATCTTTAAAACAAACCATTGGTAACACTTTTATAACTCCTACAACCTAGCAAGACATAGAAAGTCATGGGTCATGCTGATTTCAACCCATACTTGAATATCCAACAAGAAAAAGCTGGAAGGGGTGACAGGAGCCAGAGGCTGTCGATGAAAACAGACACTAGGATAGAAACTTGATCTTCGGGGGCAAAGAGCTTCTTGGGGCATCATTCTCTCCTCTGTTTTGAATTCCTCCCATGTTTCCTCCCTCCCTCTGTCTCTCTGTCTGTGTCTGTCTGTCTGTCTGTCTCTGTCTCTGTCTCTCTCTGTGTGTGTGTGTGTGTACAGACAGACAGACAGACCGACCAGGAGTCAACCTTAGGCGTCATTCTTCTTCCGTTTCTAGTCACCTTGTTTTTGAGACGGGGTCTCTCAGTGAAGCAGGAGTTTGGCTGTTTTGCTTGGCTGGCAGCCAGCTAGCCCCGGGACCCATCTGTCCCTGACTCTCCAGCACAGAGATTACAAGCACATGCCACCACACCTAGCTTGTTTTATGTGGGTTCTGGGGATCAAACTCAGGTCCTATGCCAGCATGACAAGCACTTTGCCGGCTGAACCACCATCCCAGCCTAACTTCAGTTACAATTAAATCTTTTTTTTTTCTTTTTTCTTTTTTCTTTTTTTTTTTTTTTCGAGACAGGGTTTCTCTGTGTAGCTTTGCGCCATTCCTGGATCTCGCTCTGTAGACCAGGCTGGCCTCGAACTCACAAAGATCCACCTGCCTCTGCCTCCCGAGTGCTGGGATTAAAGGCGTGCGCCACCACTGCCCGGCTTACAATTAACTCTTAACTACAACAAATAGAAAACAAATTCATTTAAAATGGACACTTCACTGTGAGAGAGGAGCAGGCCGTGGTATCAAGAATTTTCTAGCAAAATCAAAGGTGACAAGGGTACCATGAATGTGAACTAGCTTTGAATGAGAAGATCCATTTGTTTTAAATGTCTAGCTTCTGACTACAGATTCCGAAGAAAAGAGCATCTTTCCTTCAGTACACCCCATTTATCTGGAATGTGAAATACTGTTTATTTTCATTCTGTAGCATTTCTAAAAATAGTCATCATCTTGAAGAATTCGGCTTTCCTCATCAAGGAAGTCCACAACCAAGGTCAGAGGGAATATTTTGCCTTTGAGACTGCAGTATACATTAAAAAGTCATTTTTTTTTTTACATAATCTACCCTATTTACCTTCTCTGGATCATTTGAATATTTTATTTGGATCTGGAATGAATATTGTTGTTTTTAAAATCTTATCTGGGGGAGAGAGTGTAGCTCAGTTTTAGAGCAAAACCCTGTGACTTCAAAGAAAATGGGGTGGGGGTATCTAAAGAAAAATCAGTGAAGGGATGCTGTGGGATGGTCTGTATGTCAAATGTGTTGCTGATTGGTCAATGAATAAATCACTGATTGGTCAGTGGCCAGGCAGGAAGTATAGGCGGGACTAACAGAGGAGAATTGAGAGAACAGGAAGCTGGGTGAAAGAGACATTGGCAGCCGCCATCAGGACAAGGAAGATGTAAAGTACCGGTAAGCCACAAGCCACGTGGCAAGGTATAGATTAATAGAAATAGATTAATTTAAGCTGTAAGAACAGTTAACAAGAAGCCTGCCACGGCCATACAGTTTGTAACCAATATAAGTGTCTGTGTTTACTTGATCGGGTTTGGCAGCTTGGGACTGGCGGGTGAGAGAGATTTGTCCTGACTGTGGGCCAGGCAGGAAAACTCTAGCAACAAAGGGACTTTTCTATGTCTAGCAGTTTCTTGTTTAATATAAAGTACAGAGCAGATATGATGCTATGTTTTAAATTCGGCCTAGCCTGTGGCTACACACAGATTTGAACGTTTATTACTTACAGTTCCTCTCCCTGTTTGGCTTTCTTGTCTGACACCAGATAGACAGTTCCAAAACTTCCACTGCCAAGTTTCTGTTGAAGAACATATCTTCTTGCAATCAAGGTAGTTGGATACTTGGAAATGGCTGTAGAACCACTCAGGCACTTAGCGGTCTCTTCAAATTTCAGCATTGCTCCAAGGTAAAACTCACTTGTTCTTTCCCAGAAACAGCCAGGCCTCCCGGTTAATGGTCAAAGAGTCAGGCAGGAAGTGTTTATTGATGCCAGAAATATGGAAAATCCACAGATCATGTCTAAAAGCAGCTATACAACTCCTACAAAAAAGTAGAAGCTTTTGACAATGATGCCTGCACCGTACCTTGTGTTATCACACCAGCTAGCATGTGTCTGTGTGCAAGCCTATGTGCATGTGTCTGTCTGTGTGCAAGCCCGTGTGCATGTGTCTGTGTGCAAGCCCGTGTGCATGTGTCTGTCTGTGTGCAAGCCCGTGTGCATGTGTCTGTGTGCAAGCCCGTGTGTCGGGGGAGGGTGGTGAAAACACTGCAAACTCTGGAAGGCATTTTCTCAGAGAAAGACAGCCTTCCTTAGCTTTACAGCCAATTTTGACTGACATCTGAAATGTGTATTTGTCTTATAATTTTCTGTTAAATATTTACACTCCCCATCAACTTAAAAGAAAAATCCAAGCACAGGACCACGGCTTCCCTGGATGCTCTCTTCCTTCTATGTCTACTCTGGCTTACAACCAGAGTAAACTGGGACTAAACCATCAATGAGCATACTCGGCGTTCCCCTGCATTTTTCCATGTAGACTTTAAATCATAGTTTATTTATTAGACTCGATATGGGGAGGGATATTAATTCAGAGTATTTTTGTCTCCCTTTCATCCTAAGCAAAACTTGATTCTATTTCTATTATATTGGATACAGAGTAATCTCCTTGGATTAGAAGTAACAAAAAGGAACTCAAAACTAAAACTGCATTTTAAAGGTAGCTGAATATAAATATATAGGTAAAACCATAATTCCTCAAGGAGCTATGAAATGTATGGCAGTTGTGAATGGCAGAACTGTTTCATGAACAGAACACATTTTTATTCCACCCAAGTGTTAAATGTTTTATTGAAAACTTTTCTTGTTTTAAATCTGTACGAAAATATGATTTTACACTGAAAACCATGTATGCCTTGGCCCTAGGTTTTTGTATTCAACAACTCCAAAGCAAGAAGAAAAAATATTGTTATAATGATGACCTGTAGGCTTGACATGTACCACAAAACCTACCAGGGCAATCAAACACGAAAATTTGCAAAACAAACATAAAACCAAGTTGTAACACTGTCTTCTTTAAATAATGTACTAATCTGTTGTTTCATCCAGCCCCAGTGAGAGCAATAGCCCTCCTCAAGGGAATGTTAGTAAAATCTACAGCACCTAAGGAGTAGACCTCTAAAAGGTACCTTCTGTTTGCTCTTTGGCTGGCAGAAAAGTGGTGCTTTCTAGATAAAGTAAGCTGTTTGGGAAACTGTAAGGCCAACAGTTTTTTAGATCACTAATAATTCTCTTTAGTGTGGAGAGGAGATTAAAGTTTGGTGGAGGACAGAACTCAAGATGGAGGGCCAGGAGCTTCTATTTGTAATGGAGAGATAAACCCAGCAGTGTGCAAACAGTCCCTCCAGGCTAATCTCACAGACTCAGCTCTGTCACTCTCATCCCTGTCCATAACCACAGAATGGACATATACTGCAGCATGGATCTGAAACTAGGGCGGTGAAACTTGGGTGCTGGGAACACGCGTTATCTTTGCATCCCTGGTGCCTGGCTAACAGCTAAAATATAGTATCAGTAAACGTTTGGAGAGCAAGGAAGGGTCCAAAAAACCAACTGTGGTCCAAAGGTTTTGTGGACAAAAAAGGAAAGAAAGCAGGATGGGAACTTGGAGAGAGCGGAGAGATGCCCACTTTGTGCTAACCATCCCTAGGGAAAATGACCCATCCCGCTGGGGCAGGCCAAGAAAAAGCCAAGTGTTTATCGCGGGTGGGAACCGAGTGGTTTATGTCCACATAACAAGCACTAGGAAGCTGTCCCTGACTTCGGGTTCTGCTAAATCTGACCCGAGTGGTAAACTCTAACCCTGAGGTTAAAGGAACAACTTCCTTGACTCTCCAACAAATAAATTGATTTTCGCAAAGCAGGTGAATGTATATCGAGGGGTTGGGCGCTTATTCTCCCGAGGGTGAATGGGGTCCGGGGGCTGCGGGGCCGGCTGCCCGGGCTCCACTTGTTACCTTTCCTGGTCCGGGACCCGCGACGCCCGGCCATGCTTAAAGCTCCATGCCTCGGAGGGCGTGGTTGTTTGACACCGTCGCCACGGAAACGGCGCGGGGGCTGCTGGGAAGTCGGGGTTCGGCCGCCCGGCCAGCGGAAGCGCCGGCGACCCTATGAGGCGGAGCGAAGGGTTGGGGGGCGAGGCGGGCCGAGCTTCCCTGAGGAAGCGGCCGCAATCGTGAGACTAACACCTCAGCCTTCTACACCAAGTTACCACCACCGGCCCGAAAACACTTGCATCTACCGGCAGCGCCCTTAGCTTCTCGGAGCTAGGCTTCCCAGTGACGTCATTCCCAGGTACTTCCGGTTTCCGCTCGCGGTCTTCAACTCACCTGCCAGCCCGCCAGTTCTCCAGGGCTTCTGCCAGCTGCTGATGAAGGGAGTGGGCCACCAGGAGGAAGCAGCAGGTGGGTTGAGAGGGCCGCGGTGGCTTGGGGTAGGAAGGTCTGTGTCACCTTTGCCCTGCCTGGCTTGCATTTGTTGAGCTACTCCATGCAAGGTCATGCCATTAGCTTACTACGAGTCGTGAGTTTGCAGAAACCACGAGACAGACCCGGAAAGAAACGACTGTTTGGAATTAAAAGTGCTGAGATGTTGAACGAGGTGGGTCTGAAGTGAGGTGAAATGTTAGCAGATGAAAAAAAAAAATCAGAGTGATGAATTTTTATGTAGTGTCTCTAAAAATCAAAATGCAAAAATCCCAAGACTGGCAAAAATGTCACAATTTTAAACAAAGCAAGGTTGGTAATAGTACTACAGCTGTAGTTTTTTTCTTAGCCCAAACTGCTATTTAATGGCCCCGCACTCAATATCTGTAAGAAGGGTCTTCTTATCCATAAGAAAGAAAAACTGAATCCTTATGTGCCCTACACTGAGATTTATAACATTGATAAGGGTGTCATTCTTATAGCTTAGGACTTTTTGCCTTGACCCTCACAAAACAGATACTCAGTCTTGTAAAGTGGAAACATCAGTAGCAAAATCCATGGAATTTCTATGTTGGTGTGACCATAGTGTTCCGGTGAGGCCAGGAGTAGCCTCCACCATTAACCAAAGAACAAATCCCATGAAATGACTAAGTTTGTGTCTTGTACCACACAAGGAAAAATGCTCAGCTAGATATGCTGACACCCAATATAGTCTTTAAAGAGCATGTCTCATTTTCTATTGAAGCAATGATCGGGTGCCCCTAAAAGTACCATTTTTGTCAGGGCTCTCTAGAGAAACAGAACGGTAGTAGGGTCTGTCTACAAACACACATACAAGATTTATTAGAGTGGCTTAAAGTCAGTGCTTCGACTCTTCCAACAATGGCTGTCTCCCAGCGAAAAGTCCAAGAATCCGGGAGTTGTTCATTCCCTGAGACCGGATGTCTGAGCTGGTCTTCAGGATCCACCAGAATGCTGAAGAAGTAGGCTGTAGTGCCAAGGAAGGAATGAACCTGCCAGGGAGAGTTAGAGCAGGTGCGCAAAGGGCAAGATGTTTCTTTGTCCACATCCATTGTATAGGCTGCCACCAGAAGGTGTGGCCTAGACTGGAGGTCTTCCCACCTCCAATGATTCAGTCAAGAAAAATCCCTCACCAGTAAGTATACCCAGCAGGTTGGGTCTTGGTTGATTCCAGGTGTAGTCAGATTGGCAACCAAGAATAGCCGTCAGAGGCACCATCCATTCAAATTGTTTTATTGTTTCAGCAGGCAGTTCTGTCAGTCATCATGGGCATCCGAGGACTAATGAGTTTCGTGGAAGACTACAGTAATGAATTCTTCACTGATTTGAAACTGCGCGACACAAAAATTATCATTGATGGCTACTCTCTTTTCCACCGACTTTGCTTCAATTCAAACTTGGAACTCCGGTATGGAGGGGACTATGATTCATTTGCAGACGTTGTACAGAAATTCTTTGAATCACTGTTTGCCTGTCACATTTGTCCGTATGTTGTATTAGATGGAGGGTGTGACATTTCAGATAAAAAGCTTACAACTTTGAAGGATCGAGCTAGAGAGAAGATCCAAGTGGCCCATTCCCTTTCTGTTGGTGGGGGTGGGAATGTGTGTCCCTTACTCATCCGAGAAGTGTTCATCCAGGTTTTGATTAGGCTTAACGTATGTTTTGTCCAGAGCTTTTCAGAAGCAGATCGGGACATTATGACACTTGCCAATCACTGGAACTGTCCGGTGCTATCATCAGATAGTGACTTTTGCATTTTTGACCTGAAAAGTGGGTTTTGCCCACTGAGCAGCTTTCAGTGGAGAAATCTGAACATTGTTAAGACTACACAAGATTACTATATTCCTGCCAAATGCTTTTCCCTTGATGCATTCTGCCATTACTTCAGCAACATGAACAAAACTCTGTTACCTCTCTTTGCGGTGCTATGTGGAAATGACCATGTTAACCTGCCCATCATAGAGACATTCATAAGTAAAGCGCGTCTTCCTCTTAGTTCTAAGGGGAGGAGATATCAACGAGTTGTGGGACTTCTGAACTGGTTGTCTCATTTTGATGACCCCACTGAAGCACTCGATCATGTCCTGAAGCATCTCCCCAAAAAGGGTCGAGAAGATGTCAAGGAACTTCTCTGCTGTTCCATGGAGGAGTACCAGCCTTCCCAGGTGAAGCTGCAGGACTTCTTCCACTGTGGTACTTACGTCTGTCCAGACGCTTTGAATCTGGGCTTACCAGAGTGGGTACAAGTAGCTCTAGCCAAAGGCCAGCTACCCCCTTTCATCAGTGATGCTTTGGTGCTCCAAAGGACCTTTCTTCACACACAGGTAGAAAATATGCAGCGACCAAATGCCCACAGAATAGCTCGGCCCATCCGGCAGATTATCTATGGGCTTCTTTTGAGTGCCTCGTCACACCCAGAAGATGTGTCCCAGAACACAGTGCCTTCTCAGCCTCTGGCTTTCAACGAAGTGGAAAGAGTTAATAAAAATATCAACATATCAGTTGTTTATGCAAAGCAGCTACTCAAGGATCATTCTGACTTGAGCAAATTGACTGAGGTAAGTTTGTAAGACTAATAAAATTCTAAGAAATCTCTCTAGAGATTATGTTGCTTTCATATGTACTGTCTCTCTTAATATATAGCACATTGGTTCACATCATGCCTTCATGTTATGTGTGAAAACTAGAACTCCAGTGATCTAGGTAATCTCTTAGCTAGTGTTAGTGCTGCGACTCAAACCTAGCACTTGTAGCCCTAAATTTGCTATTCTCAGTGGTCTTCAGTAACCTGTTTCCTTCGCAGTTACTGCACTGTATTGATTCCAACTAGAATAGGGTTATATAACTTTTTTTTAAAAGAAGGAAAAGGAAAAATCCTGAACTGTAAAAGGAGTGTGCATATAGGCACTTGATGTGGGCATAACAGCATCTTAGATTATCTCAGTTGAATTAAGATTGATACTGATGCTTCTGTCTAAAGGCTTTTGTTTTTATTAATGAGGGCCTCTTTTTAGGCTTTTGGTAATATGTAAATATATTAAGAATAACAGATATGAAACTTTATTTTGATAACACAATTAAACATACAAGTTAAATGTAAGTGAATTTATAAAGCCATTTGCAATGCCCATTGGGTTTGTTTTTTAGTTCCAACTAAATATTCACTCTCAGACTCACAGGGTCATTGGCTCAAGCCTACTCAAGTGTGAAGGATAGCAGCCAGTTTCCCTGTTGGTGATCAGACCTTACTGGCCGCCAGTTTGATCCCAAGGGATATTGATAGTGACCGCCACTTCCTAGGGAGTGGAAAAGGTGGAGTTGCCACTGAGATCTAGTGGGGTAAGGCAAGGATGTTAAGCTTTTTAGAATGAACAGATTGTCACCGTACAATAAAGAATTAGGTGACCCAAAATGCCCATTGTGCGTTTTTAGCCTCTTCACTAGTGACAGCATAAGCACAGGGAAAGATTTGTAAGTGGGTATCAAAAGCATACTTGGCACTGGGAATTAGCTACTAATAGGAACAGTGCTCCTTTTGGAGGTGATGAGAATGTTCTGGAATTAATAATGGCTACACAAGCCTATAAATATACTAAAACTACTGAATTGTGTACTTTAAAGAGGTGAATTTTCTGACGTTATTTATATCTCAGAGAAAGCAGAGTTTCAGTTAAAAGCCTTCTTCCCCACAGGATCTTATCTGTACACTTTATAAATGAATCTTTTCCACCAGGCATCTTTTATTCATCTTTTCCACCAGGCATCTTTTATTCAGTGTATCTGTGAGACTCACTTATAAACTCGATTTGTAGACCAGGCTGTCCTTGAATTCACAGAGATCTGCCTGCCTCTGCCTCCCAAGTGCTGGAATTAAAGGCGTGCGCCACGACCGAGCCCAGCTCACTTATAACTTGTTCATTTCTCTCTGCTGTAAACTCACTGCATTGTGGGAATGAATATACCATGAATGATTTTTCTTCTGGGTGGTTTCCAGTTGTGCTGTTTCAGATAGTGCCATGAATATTGTGGTGCACATCACCTGTAACCTAAGGGCATACATAGTTCTATTGCACATACGTGGAATGGCTGGGCCGGGTAGGAGAGGCACTGTGCTCAGCTCTTTAGAAGTCTTGCCAAAAGGTCTTGACAGTGGACCCACTAACACTGCCAGCAGCGGAGAGTGCTTCTTCCTGTGCTCTTGCCAGTCCTAGGTGTTTATTAGCCCAGGAAAGGTTCTGGCTGGTCTAGTTGGGGTTACATCATCTTAGTCATTTGGGTGGGCAATCTGCAGTTCTCTGATGACTCGCTTGTGTTCATTAGCCAGTTAGATGTTCTGTGTGAAGTCTTTTGCCTATCTTTCTGGGCTTTTCGCCCACTGATCATTGTAAATCGACACTGTTGCCAGAGCCTCCCATTCTGATTTTCACTGTAGTATATTCTACTAAACAGTTTTAGTATAGTCACTTAAATTTTTATTACTTATGGTTACGCTTTTGTGATCTTCTTAGGAAATTACTACCTACTCCCAAGATTATGAAAATAGTTACCTTTCCCTTTCACATTAAATCTACCATCTGTCCAGAAGAGGCAGGGTGTGAAATAGGAATAAGGACACTTTTCTT